TTACCATCATCATCATCATCATCATCGTCGCCAGCAGCACCGTCTTAATATCGTTAGTAATCGTNTGTGACATCTGCCTCGTTATGTCGCTTGCAATTTATTTCAAAGATCAATATCATCGTCATCATCATCTTATTGCCATCATCGTCATCATCATCATCATCTTATTGTCATCATCATGTTATTGTCATCATCGTCATCATCTTATTGTCGTCATCGTCACCACCAAACAAGTAGAGAGGGTAAATGAGGTTAGTCATTATCTTTCATTAGCTCTTTATTCACGGCCAGACGTCATCTCAGAGAAGCTACTCGTCATCGCAACTTTCATATACGTCATCATAACTATCATCTGCGTCATCGTCATCATCATCACCATCATTATCATCATCATCATTATCATCATCGCCATCACCATCATAGCCATCATCATCATCATCGTCACAACCAGGGTATTTTAGGGTCAGGGTTTGCCCTGAAAGTCCAGCAGAAGCAGCGTCAGAAGCACTTCAACCGACAAATACCAGCAGCTGCCACAATAATTCAGGTATCCAATCGGTATTTTACCGTATCGTATCGGTATTTTGTTGTATCGTTTCGGTACTTTTGTTATATCGTATCGGTATTTTTATTGTATCTAATCGGTGTTTTGATGTATCGTTTCGGTATTTTTGTTATATCGTATCGGTATTTTACTGTATCTAATCGGTATTTTATTGTATCCTATCGATACTTCATCGTATCGGTATTTTATTGTACCGTATCATCATGTAAAGTATCGTTATTGTATGTTTAGTCTCGATTTGGGGGGCTTGCACCTAATCTTCTTTAGACGTATGAACGGTTTTTGTCGGTTTAACCTTTATTATTATTATTATTATTGTTATTATTATTATTTCTATTATTTGTTGTCGTTACTGTGATTACGATTGGGAAAAATATGCCGTCGAATACGTAACATCGAACTAATTTGGAGTTAAAGTGGTTTACATGTAGTGTAGTGCCTATATAAGTGACCTCTCTCTGGCACGTTCGCATATTCTTACTTTTTTTTAATTAATTTCACTTTCTCTTTCTCTCTCTCTCTCTGCCCCTCCTTCTTCTTCAATCTTTTTCTTTCTTTTTCTGTTTCTCTCTCTCTCTCTCTCTCTCCATATTATCTCTATATTTCAATTCTTCCTCTTCTCTTACAGTTACTCGGTCTTTATGTATTTCATTTCTCTCATCTCTCTCTCTTTTTCTCTTTCTCTTTCTTTCTTTCTCTCTCCCTCCCTCTCTCACGCCTCACCATCTCTCACCATCATCTCACCGACTTTCTCCATCTCTCTCTCCTTCCGTCATTTAGTGCCTGTGGAGATGTCACGCGGCAGAATCGCATTTCAGAAGCCAGGCGACTTGGGCGGCCCACCAGCCACGTGACGCGCGTCCCCACGCCTTGTCCCTGGCCACCATGGCTCGGAGGGCCAGCGCCACTTTCGTCAAACGTCGACGGAGTGCTCATAAAAATAGGTCGGGGGCTTGGTTGATTTGTGTGCGTGTGTGTATGTGTATTTGTGTGTATGTGTGTGTA